ATGGCGCAGGGGAGGAGGGTGGGGATGAAGTCCAACTCTAACGCCTGCCCCTGGAGGATACATTCAAAGCAACGGTTTAAAAGAATGAAATCAACTTTATTGAAATCAAATGAATGGGTTTATGCGATTTGGCAATCCGATTTGATACAGCGAATTCGATAGAAAATTCTATTTCTTTTTGGGCTATTTTATAATATAAAAACAAATTTTGCATCCTTATGCATCAATAAAATAATAATAATAAGAAAGTTATCAAATTTGGCGATTAAATTGCGCGAGAAAAATTTGAAAAAGATCTTGAATATTCAGCATCATTCAAATTACATTTTGTGCATTATTATTTGTTAAACATTAGTTGTTTATAAATGAATAATTGAAAATGTTTAAACTTTCGGAAATCTAATTTTTTAGACATGAAATCGATTTCTGGTAAAATTCTAAACATGAATAAATTTGTTACGATTCTAAACAAATGTTTTTTATGGTGGCAAATTAATTGTTTATAGATTATTGATCAAAAGTGCTCAAATTATCAAAAATATTTATCTGAATAGTACACAAACAATTTTTTTTTAAATTACAAAAAAAATTTTATGCGCAGTTTTGTTTGTATTAAATAAATGTTGTTTTATTACTAATAAATTTTTAATAGATCCAAATAAATTGTTTGTTTAATAAAGTTAAATCCTGTTTCTTCGAACAAGTAAACAAGTTTGTTTATTTGTAACATAAATATTCTTGAAATAAGTAAAAGGCAACGCAAACACCTCCCCCCCCCCTTTGCACCGGGTGAAAATTCAAATTTTTCAATTTTTTTATTTCTGCATATCTTGCCCCTCCGAGTGTTTCGATGGCCTCAGAATCGTCAGTAGATACGGATTCAACGTTCACTTCGCGAAAAAATTCGAGTTTGCGAAAGTCGACTTCGCCTGAAAAAACGCAAATACCCTCCCCCCCCCCCCTGCAACCTCCAAGAAAGATTTTTATTTGATTCAAAAGAACCATTTTTATGTCGCGCCGTGCAATACGTCGAGTTTATCGCCTGCTCAAAACTCGACTTCTGCACGACTTGACATAAAATATTATAGAGCACTCGGTAATAAATTTCGTTTTCAACAAATGTGTGTACAGACCTCGCCTTCGGCTCGGCCTGTCAACTACACATTCGTTGAAAACGAAATTTGTGCCCTTGTACTCTAATGTACTATTCCGGGTATATGATATTCTTGAGAGCGAGGAACAGTGTGAGGACATCTACCGGGCGCGTCAACAATTAACTCGCGCCGGTCGTTCCCTAGGTGGTTACAAAATTTAGTCCATGATCCCTATGGAATTACGCCGCGTCCTGGCGTCCGATAGCATATTCACTCATAAAAAAATCTGAAGATCGTAACGCAGTTGAAGAATCCATCACCATAGATAACAGTCCTGGAAATTAGTTCCCCATGAACTCTTCATTAAAATCAAACATCTACATCAAACATCGTAGTTCCACGATGATCTGATCGCTAATTCGCCAGAGACCCGGATCGTTGAATGGGCGATAGAATTTCCAAAACTATCGATTCCCACCTTCCCTCCCACCAATCTAACACAGTTAATCCGTATAGATATACGTTGGATGCATCCCGGAATGACCTAATTATGGATGAAGCTGCAGCGTTCAATCAGAGTCCTCAGCGACCACTGCGAATAGATGCGCATTAGCCATCTACCCTTTCCTCACAGGCAACAGCAGTATCATCAACCAGTGAACGTCGACAATCCGTCCAACTCCCATCCATTGCCCACCCCTCAACCTACTCCTGGTGCTCACTTCTCGTTCGCCTCCATCCCAACTAACCAACCGGATCCTTTCTCGATAAAGCAACGTCATTCAGTAGGACCCCAAGCCTGTAATCTTAATACGTGATTGGCATATCGACACCTGCCACCATTGCCCAAGAGTAGACTCTGTCAACTGTGAACTTGGGGGACTTCATTGGACGCAACAGCATGATGGGATAGGATAGAAATGGCACAACTTCTGGACCTTGCCGAATATTAATGTCTTAAACGCTGTGCTTCGGGTGACTGGTGGAGTTTTCGAGAGACATTATGAACATTAAAGATTAGTCTGACCTACTTCACTGAGTTCCAAGGCACTTGATCACTCTTTGGTCCTTTTCCGACAACCTTGGCGATCTCATAGTCAATGCTAAAGATTTCCGAGAATGCGTTCAATGCTTTTACAGGTTGACATGATCCTTAGGACGTGTACTTCATTGGACGCAGCAGCATGATGGCATATGATAGAAATGGCACAACTTCTGGACCTCGCAGAATATTCGGGTCTTAAACGCTGTGCTTCGAGTGATTGCTGGAGTTTTTGAGAGACATTACGAACATTAAAGATTAGTCTGACCTACTTCACTGAGTTCCAAGGCACTTGATCACTCTTTGGTCCTTTTCTGACAACCTTGGCGATCTCATAGTCAATGCTAAAGTTTTCCGAGAATGCGTTCAATGCTTTTACAGGTTGACATGATCCTTAGGACGTGTACTTCATTGGACGCAGCAGCATGATGGCATATGATAGAAATGGCACAACTTCTGGACCTCGCAGAATATTCGGGTCTTAAACGCTGTGCTTCGAGTGATTGCTGGAGTTTTTGAGAGACATTACGAACATTAAAGATTAGTCTGACCTACTTCACTGAGTTCCAAGGCACTTGATCACTCTTTGGTCCTTTTCCGACAACCTTGGCGATCTCATAGTCAGTGCTAAAGTTTTCCGAGAATGCGTTCAATGCTTTCACAGGTTGACATGGTCTTCAGGACGTGTACAATCAGCCTTTCTCAGTTGGTCCCTTTCTCCTATCCCTCCGGGCAGCGATCAATTTCAACCGTGTAGGCGCACTGAGTGTAATCAGGCGTGAATGGAGGTAATCGACAAAGCCCGCCTCTGGCACTGCATTTGGGTCATCTCCTTGTAGTTCTTGTCTCCAACCATGTCCCAATTGGCATGTTCTTGGCCGTGTCAACGTCGTTTCGTATCAGTGACAAACAGGTGTCCAGAAATGAAGCAGTGTCAGCGGGGCTGATGAATCGTGTGATTGGTGGGGATGTCCGATTGTGTTTCCTCTGGGGGGTAGGAGAGGGGGACTGCTGTGGTAGTACTTCGAATTTTTATCCAAATATTCTCATATTTTACTGAATGTTAGTATGTTTTTTAGAAATTGGTGTAAAGAAATTAGGAGCTTCACTTGTCAGTATTGGAAATAAAGAGAACTTTTTTTTATTGTTCTTCATTTGGTGGTATTCGTAAATTTTATCCATTTTGAGATAATTTTTTTAACGAAATCGTCCGATTGTAAACAAAATTTATTACATGTTCCACGTGAGAATATTTGATGGAGAGAAACAGATTTACTTGAGGGAAATGGGCGGGAAAAAATGTAATCTATTTTACGACAATCATTTGATCTGAGAGAACTCCATAGTTTTACACCATAGACAGAATACATTGACGAGGAAATAATACTTTTCCCCATAGACACGCGATTTTCAACCGGTGTTTTATAAAGTGTCGAACGGAGGATTCACTTATCAATAAATCGCAATTTTTCTTCATACCAATAGTTGGTGTGAATTCTTGTAAGAAATGACCCGCTCAACCAGAGACCCCTCAGCGGGTCGATAACTCTCTGCAAATGGCCGTATTGGAAAGCATATCCCTCCCCCCTGAAACGATATTTTCTGTACTGAAATGGGGGTTACACAGTCTCGACTGGTTAGATCCTCAAGATAAATTCGCCGGACACAAGTCTGGCCATAGGATCTTCGATAAGTTACGACAGTACGTAGTGGGTCAACAAGTGAGCGTTAACTCTTATCCGGTACAAGGGTATCCTGTTCGTACTGCCACAAGGCATTTCGCCCGTGATATCGACAAATTGGTAAATAGATAGATCTCCTCTGCGGCATGTACAGTCATCCCGAGCCTTACTTACAGCCCCTGATAAACTATAATATCTCCCTGATCCATTTTTCCCGCCATGACGGATGTAAAACTGCACGGAGAGAAATATTCAAGAACAATTACGGAACATTTCACGTAATCCGCAAGCGAGGATCGTTTTCAGTGAATTTCTATAGGAATATAAGAGAATAAATCTGAAACGTTCAGTAAATTTTCGGGTCTGTCACCGAAAAAATACGAAAAAGTCACGTAATTTTTCTGGAAGTTGTTAAATCTAACCGAAACTTCAAGACTTATTATGCCTCTGAACATGAAAATTCTTGGATGTTTAAGAATTTTTACGAAAAAGTCCGGAAAAATTACGGAACGTGTTGTTAAAATCTCCCCCTCACGGTGACTCATAGCTAGCCGTGACTCGTCGGACGGATGAGTAATTTTTACGGAACAGATCGTAGAATCTACGTGACGATTGACACTTTTTATTGAATTTTACTTCGCTCCCAGATTACGTTTCGAAACGTAATTTTTACGTCTTTTTTTCTGGTAATTTTTATTGAATATTTCTCTCCGTGTGGGAGATCATTTTTCATCATCACAATCTGATGGTTGCAGGTACACGATTAGACATCTGTGTTTCAATTTTTCATTCGAACATCTCGTCGTTACAAGTTCAACGTTTCTTTCTATTGACGTAATCTTCAAATTATGATGGCGATAATTTATTCACCATCTATGACAATTATTTCCTCATGATTTGACTGCACTGAGATAAAAAACTACTTTCGACAAAGGTTTACTCGATACAAGAAAATATTCTCTTGTCAGCTTTAAAATTCGTGAAATCTCCTGATAAATAACGAATCGAGGCAATTAAAAACCATAAAGACACCTGTCAATATCCGCCGCCAGTGAAAACGCCAAAATATTTCGTTTATCCGCGGTCCAATTTGACCGTTCAATCCCAGATAACGAACGTCCTACGCCCCCTAACAACCGAAACAGCAAAGAGGAGAGTAAAATTCAATGGTAATCAACTTACCTGTGCTCCAACGAGACCGGCGCGCAATCTCGGTATATCGGTGTGACTCCAGTCAGACCTGGCCCAAGGGTCAACTCTGCCCAGGTCACTGCTGAGATTCACTTCACCAAGTTGATTGTGTACAAACTTTCTCACGTTCCAGGGCAGATCGTTGTGCCTAAACAAACAAAAGCAAGCTACCAATATATTGCTGTAACAAGATCAGTGAGAGGTGAGTAATTTTGGTGGAACTCAAAAGCTCCCAGCGAGCGGTGGAAACATGTTGATATTTGACTTGATCCCAACTAGTTTCGTCATCGTTCCTTGAATTCTGAATGACGGAGAAACTAATCAATCGTCCAATAACCGAAGAGGAATGCGTGTTGACATGCTTGAAACTAACGGATACTGACCCATCAATGAGAGGCACTTCAGTGAGAATTCTCCTGATAACATCGAGCCTCTGCTGATGTGTAGCTGGGGCAGATTGCAGGAGAAGTGGGAGGCACAGTCCACCCAGTAACAATGCACCAATGAGCAGGAATATTGGTGCCAATACACGACACCTTCTCCTCGGACTCTCTCTGCGGTCTTTGCTGCTGCCAGAGCTCGGTGACTCTTCACAAGGTGGTGGTAGTCGTACAGCACCATTACACGGTGCAACATCTGGTAGTTCTGTTAGGCACGTTGTCTGAAAGCACATTAAACCCACAAAACTCGAATTAGATTTGAATCGATGACAATGGGAACAAGTATTGTTCTACCAGCGACAAAAGGGGCAAGAGCGCTTGAATACAATTGACAATATCATTAACTTGATATCCGTTGATACAAATACAGTCGCTGACGGTATCCCATTCACCCGGAGATAATGGCTGGAGACAGTGGCATAATAGGCGGCAAATTGAACTATCAGTTTGAGTGAAGATCTTGACTCGGTGAGAGAAGTCATTCAACTTTATCTGGTCCCAGGGCTGCCACTTGAGCAGAAGCCGATCCTTTGGCTCTCTCATCATGCCAAAGAGGCAAAACTTTGCCAACAGCTTCACTTCAGGACGCTAACTCAACTAACCCAGATACTAGACTCACCGAAAATCCACTCTATATATCCGTTAACTATCCTTTGTCTCGGTCGCAGCGTCTGATGGAGTCACCGACCGAATCAATTTCAAACCTCAAGTCATTGAATTTAGAATTTACAAGGACGGAATTTGGGGGCTTCGGGGGTAGTATGGCGGGGTGAAACGTGAGAAAACTGGGGAATTGGCGCACAGGAAGATCAATGAATCTGTCTTCTTGATGCTCTCAGAGCGATCCGAAAAATATGCCTTTCAATGACGTTCATTTCCATGGAATATTGTCTCTTAATTAGATACACAAACATCAATTACTAGAGAATGAGTCATCTGGGATTTTGAAATGGAAGATTGATACGATAGGCTAGATTAATTTAAATGCAATATTAGCAGAGAATTTGAATTCCTTGCACAGTTTAGTAGTTTTTTTCAGAAATGGGTCATTTAATTCTATTTAGAGGGGAAAACATCCACTGAAAACTCAGTGGAATTTTAAAAGTTTGAGCAGCACGATAAGAAAAATTCCCCATCTTGTTTGGATTTTCAATCAAAACATGAATGCTTAACACTAAATTATGGTAAATTTGCCCAACTATTAAGGGGCCCAACTATTAGACTCGCTTCCCGAAAATCCACTCTACATATCCGATAACTATCCTTTGTTTCAGTCGCAGCGTCTGATGGAGTCACCGCCCGAATTAATTTCAAGTCCCTTAAGTCATTGAATTTAGAATTTACAAGGAGGGAACGTGAGAAAACTGGCGAATTGGCACACAGTGGTGTGAATGGAAATGCTGGGTTCAGTCAGCACTTAAGATCAATGAGTCTGTCTTCTTGATGCTCTCAGAGCGATCCGAAAAACATGCCTTTCAATGACGCTCATTTCCATGGAATATACTCTCTTAATTAGACACACAAACGTCAATTACCGGCCATTAATTTTCATCATTTTATTGTTCGTTACAAATATACCTGAATGAGTGGAAAATGGAAAATCCATATGATGGGTTGGATTAATTTAAATGCACTACTAGGAAAAATCTCGAAATTCATGATAAGGTTTTAAATTCAATTTAGAGGGTAAAGAGGGAGGGGCGGGATCAGGAAATTTCAAATGCTTGAGCCGCACAAACACATGTACGAAATTCAATTTTTCGTATCTAGATTAATGAAAAAATCATAAAATTTTGAATTTTCTTGAAAATTTAGTGGAATTCCAATTTTTTTTTATCAATCGGAACACGAAAATTGTCAAACTTATTTGAATTTCTATAAAAAATTGGAATACTCAGTAGGAAATACCACTAAATTTTCAGCTAATTAAAAATTCCGGAATTTTTCCCATAATTTTTTAAATTTCTATAAATTTCCAAGCAATAATTTAACTTAAATCCACAGTTTTCCTCATCAAATTTCCTCATCAAATAGTGAATTTCAAAAGACGACAATAATTAAAATTTCAGTGGAACTGATTATTTGCATCAAACTCCTCAAAAGATTAATAACAGCCTAATGTTGAACAGAATGGCTAATAAATAATTAAGAAAAAACAATCATTTTGTTTTACCCACTAACAAGATTTCATTCCCATCACCATGAATCCTAAATATTTTGGCGCAACGTCGCAAGAAAAATTTAAAAAAAAGTAATGTCCCCCGGAAATTTCTACCGTTGAAATAAACTCCTGCCCCCGCGAACCCGCTGCGAAACCAACAAGGTTGTTGTCCAAACGACCGCATGATTAATCTCAACAATGTCGTTCTTCCCCAGCCCTCCCCCCCAACGCAACAATTCCATCGCGCTTCTGATGGAGATCCTGGCCGCTGAATACCACGGGACAAAACGCCCCTCTCCCAAGTGCAAACACAAACCGAAACGTCAGTTTGAGTCATCTACCATCGTATACCATCAATTGGTAGGGACACAGTAGTTTTGCGCGCCAGTTGGTACACCGATGCAACTCGTAAACCAAAATCGAATGGTAGCCAGTGTCGAATGTTTGTCGAGTGTCAGTGTATGCCAGACTGTTGTATATGCAACACGAAACTCGTATTTTAAGCGCGACATCGATCCAGTATTACTGGTCCTCAATACCCCTACCCCAGAATTCCCGTCTCGTGTACCTGCTCCCGGAATGGCCCATCGTGTATGATTGCAGTGGCCCGCGTTGAATTGTGGGCGGGGGGAGGAGTGATATTAAACCCGGCGAGACTTGATTCACCCGGAAAATGACCGTCTGCCAGTTTGTTCTGAATGCACAATGTTGAATTATTTTTTCCTTTGTTCTGACTTTCCGTTTCGTGTTTGGTTTTGGTTATTAGCTCCTGGGGGAATTCGAAATTCTGGATGACTGATTCTGGAACATTTGTTACGGATAATGGAATAATCAAAATTAATGGCCGGTAATTGATGTTTGTGTGTCTCATTAAGGTGTTTCTCCTGAAATGTCAAAATAATAGATAATACTTGGAAAATTCATGAGAGAAAATTCTGAGCATTCTGCATCATTGGGAATTCTTGCACATTTTTTTAGATCTGAGGCTCAGGAAGAAATAATGGAATTTGGATGTTTTTGTAACCCCTCCAGCTATAACCTCCGAGGTTACCCCACTCTCAAGTAGGGAAATTTTTATGACACCCAAAAAAATAATGAACTATTGAGGAAAAACTAGTGGGTGATAATCAAATCTTTCTTGAGAACACGTATAAGTTTCAGATTTTTTTCAGCTTTCATAAGAAAGTTATTTGAACAAATGATTCGGAAAATTATGAGTTTCACTGACATTCGAATCACGCGCAGGCGCGTGCCCATGGAACTGAGAGAGAGAAAACACTCGACAGGTGTACCAACTCGAGACGCATTTTAATATTATTTCAATAATTCCTATGTTCTCTGTTCAAGCTTTCTCTACGTACTTTAAGATGGATATGGAATTGATCCTGTGATATTACTATGTATATGACTGGCTAGTCCTGCAGTTCAAATGTGATTACTTATGTAAAGGACGAACAATGTATTCTAGTAATATCAATATGTAATATGTATTATGACATGTAATGTTCAAATATTTTGTAAAACTTGAGGTAATCAATATGGCTCTACTATCAACATTTATAGATCTTAAGGGGTTGGGAAACAAAAAATGTAAACACCCGAGAGGGTATACAAAAGACGAATAAACTAGAAACTATTATTTCAATAATTATAAAAACATCCAATAAAAATAGTTTGACACCCGTAGGTGATGAGAAAAAAATCAATCAATCTGATGAATAAAATCAATATTCAAAAAATGTTCAAATGCACACTTAAATAGTTACTTGAAAATTAGAAAATTTCGTACTCAGCGATTGAATGAGGGCTCGAGAACGATAAAACTCCTTTTCCGTTTCACCCCCCTGTGACCTGCAGGCGAAACATCATTGGATCGAGTGTTTTTCGGATCGCTTTGAGAGCATTAAGAAGACGTAGACTCATTGATCTTGAGCGCTGAGGCAGTATTTGCATTGACACCACTGAGTGCCAATTCCCCAGTTTTCTCACGTTTCACCCAGACATTATACCAACCCCAAAGTTTTCAAGTTCCGTCCTTATCAGTTGTAAATGCAATCACTTGAGGTTTGAAAATGATTCGGTTGGTGACTCCATCGGAGGATGGGACTAAGACGTAGGATAGTTTACGGATGTAGAATGGATTAACAAATTTGACGTAATTTGACGTTAAATATTCATGTTTCTACTGAAAATCCAAGTAAGATGGAGAATTTTAGTTTTCGCGCTGCTCAAGCATTTAGACTTCCTAAAAATAACTACTAAACTGTCCATGAAACTGTCATTTTCTTCTGATAATGCATTTTAATTAATCTAGTCTATTGGGCACAGGCATGGCCGACAATATTAGATTGTGACAATATTAAGAAGGATTATCTCCTCATATTGTTCAAGGTTTAACTATACTTAGCACATTTAATATATTATAAAATTTAATAACTAAATTTTCCGATTAATGGTGAACAAAATAGTTGATAATTTTGAAATGTAAATTTTCCGTCAACAAGTTAATTCGAAATTTAGGTCCTTGATTTTCGATTATCCAAGTAATCGTCAATCATCCTACCTAAATTATTGGTTAATTTAATATTTAAAATTTTAAGATTTATGTTAAAAATTGGCGAATTCATAATTCAACGGTAATTATGAATTTGTCAATTTCTAGCCGTCGAGACTAGACGAGAATTATTTTGGAAAGATCATCACGGTCTAAAAAAACATCGAAAGTTTAGGAATCGCCGTAATCTTGAAAGACATTGGATCGATGGATCTCGTCACGGACTTGGAAAAATCCATCACATCTGAGTTTCAGTATTTTCTGTTTCTCAAATGTTTGTCTCGATATCTGTCTCGTCTCGTCTCGTGCCCTTAAAAAACCGAAAATCTAGAGATCCAGGCAAGATAAATCCTCCCGGAATTGTGACGAGATGCACCGATCCAATGTCTTTCGAGTTTGCGACGATTGCAAAATTTTCGATGTTTTTCCAGACGTGATGATCTTTTCAAAATAATGCTCGACTAGTCTCGACTAGTCTAGTGGCATCACCACTCAAAATCGTGTTA